TGATATCGTAAAGATGTCGAAATTATTTGAGACAACGGAATCCTTTAGCAGAGTGAAGTGTTCCCTGGACTTCAAGGAGCAGATATTTAAATGAGCAATCCTGATGTTTGACTTCGTGTTGCAGGGAAAGCTAATATTTGTGTTCGTCGATGTAGATGAAGAATTAGAAGTAGAGTTTGGTCCAGGATGTGGATGAATGTCGCCGCTAAGATTGTTTTCCAGGAGAGATGGGTTAAAAGACGCTGTTCCGTTAGCTGAGTACAGAAGCCGTCTTCGGAGAAACCGCCTTCGCTTCATTCTTTTGTACCATGATTTCAATCCAAAATGGCGGATTCGGCAAAAACTACTAGGATCGAGATAAGGCATCGAGGAAGGTTCTGGGGCGCTTCCCGGTGTGTCAAATCCATGCCCAATTGAGGAAAACCGCCAATTAGAGTAGTGGCTTAGATTGTTCAAGCAGCTGAACAGTAAAAACACGTGGAAAGTGAACATAAGAACGGAGCTAAAAATTAGTTGACCGACCGCCATCGCTGACCGCTGACCCAAGCTTTACAAAAGAAGAGCAAATTCTGCATTGTACAGGTTTCGTGACTTACAGTACACACCTTCAAAACGAGTTTCAAAAGATATTAATCATATCTCTGGGTTCAAAGATGGAAGATTTCATTTCAAGTAATTTTTTGAGTTAAGCAACCTGTTCCGTGAAATACGGCCCGCATAACTGACCAACTATAGTGCACGCACTATCTGACAGTCATAATAAAATGCCAAGGTTATCTTTGACATGGTCTTGTATTTCTTCTCAAGTAAAAATTGTCAGACGGCACTGGATTTTGCAGGTGGGCAAAAAATTGTTATATGGTAGCGTAGGCAAGCTGTAAACAAAAGTCAGGCCAAACGTTTCTCTACCTGCAAAAGTGATTCAAGCACAAGGACAAGTATAATGGTATGATATCTTTTTTATTCATTCAATGGGACGAATGACAAGCATCACTTCTAGTTACTTCTTATTGCTGATTAGTTGATGGTCTGTGGAGAGAAACATGTACAAATTACAGCTTTAATAAAGACTGAACACGAAATTCTCTGATCACATCATTAACCCGTATCAGCTGAGGTAAATTTGGGTAATTCAGCTGCCTCACAAAGAACACTCAGCAATGATACACTAATTCAAACCTAAAATTAATTTCAAAAGTTTTCATTTTTCCAGAAATCAAGACTCTTACGAACCCTGAAACATGTATATGTACGCAGTAGAGTTGTAACGTTTAGTTTATGGATCTTACAAACATATTTTTAGAGATACATGCCCATAAAAGGACTTTCAAAACATTAACTTACTTGGCCCATTCCTCGCTTAAGGTAAGATGATAATAACCAAATTCTTGAACACTTTGAATAGTTCGGGCGGCATCCTCACGATGGACAAAGTTGATGAATGCAAAACCCTGCAAACAGAACAGAAGGCGAACAATGGATTAATACACTTTTTTTGAAAGCTTCCGCCCCAAATCCTTTTACTCCTAAGATTGATTAGCATCTAATTTTTCCTTAAAATATCACCCCTGAATCAAACATTATGGGCATGCGAATAAAGGAAATGATCAACAACTAAAGAAGCTCTTGATTTTTAAACAAATTCTCCTTGTCAGCAACTTAGGAAATGTAAAAAGAACAGTATGGAGAATATGCCTACTGATGTTAGGATGTAAAAGGTTAAAAGCCTCTAGTTGGGACAAGCAAGCAAGAAGGGCATCGCAATATCTCCTTCTGAATGGGATTCTAAAAAATTATTTCAACAGAGTTCCGTTACAGTTCACCTGTACCTGCATTTACTCCTGAGTGGAGAGAGGCACGTGGAATTAAAATATCTCGTTCATAACCACAACTCAATGTGTTCAGTACTGTGAAGATCGCTTTCATATTCACCTCTATACCTGTGGTTCACATATATGATTTTGATATATTCACAGTCATTTATACAACACAATGACTTGCCCAAGGTTTGAACCAGAAAACTCTTGACGCAGTCTTAAGTGCCCTAACCGTGAGGCAACTCTTCCTAACCCCAGCAAATACTCAACTTGTGAATAAAAATCGTACGCGCTAACCAACCGTAAAATAACCTATAAATATATAACTTTATCTCTTATCTTTCGCACTGGAAAATCAGGTCAAATCAACATTCACCCAAAAGACTTGCAGAAACACTCTTCTAATCCAAGACGCACTCTTCTATCACTGTATCACTGTATACATTCTGCCATTGTAACTCAGTCAATAAGATCCCAAAAATTCTCTAGCTTCACAAATTGTGGCGAGCTAAGTCAAAGACTCGGAGCCTAAGTGACGCATCGAGACTGCGGCAATCTAACAGGAGTCTTCAGAGAACTTTAGATGATATGTAAATAAGCTTCTATGATAACATAACAACTACTTACTCTAACTCTACAGGGGAACATGCACAACAGAATAGTTTATTTCTAGAGTCGTCCTTTTAAAAGGGTCATTGAAGCGTGGTTCTAACTCCAATGCCTCATTTCACATTGAGCGTCCCCAAGGTTGTTACTAACAGCAATTTTGCAGTCCTCGGCGGTTTAAATGAACCGCATTCAATAGTTTATGTCAAATACCTGCACTTTTCTGAATAATTTTTTTAAAAGTTAGCAGCGGTCACTGACTTATAACCTGGCAAGTTCCTTTGTTATATATGTTTTTTCTAGACTCTTTTTTGACCTAACATGTAACAAAACCACAATAGCATTCCAATCATTATGAACTTACTGATCAATTCTTCTATCTGATTTATTCAGTCACCCTATATGAACACAAAAACAAAAGATTGTCTCAAATTTAACAAATGCGTCGTTGATGTTATCTTTCATTACTGCTGGTTATCCAAACAAGTCACCCCTGCTTAAGGTGTGTAGATATTAATGAACAACTCTTCTCAAGAGATCCTCACAAGATCATGGCTCAGCTAAAGTCGTCAACGCAGGTGGCCAATTCCAGTGCTCAGAGCCTTTCGCCCTTATCTTCCCCACAGTTGGGAATGCGCCTTAAAGCAGAGTTCAATCCCGGACAAAATGACAGCGTTTGTGAAAAATCACCATGCGTTTCCTTTGTCGACGAACACAGAGAAGAAACTAAGCCACAAACAATATTACAGGTTCGTGAAAGACAGAAATGGAGAAAAATGGCGCTAGCAGTGACTATGACGAGATTATTGGTGTCTGTGATTTTTGCGGGGGCATCTTTCTTCCTCTCAGCCACTACGAACAGTTCATCTGTCCTCGCCACAGCTCTAGACACAACGCTCACCGTACTCACATGTTTCGTCTTAGTCTGGAGATTTCATGAAGAAACGAACGCGAAAATCGTTCCTCAGAAAGAAAAGCATGGATCCATTGCCTTTGGAATAGCATTCATCGTGGACGCGCTGATAGTTATAGCAGTTTCAGTGAAGCACCTGACTGATAAAACCAAACCAGATGGAGCCAGCATAATGTGGCCATGTCTACTGGCGTTTTGTTTTGTTTATTGCTTACTGGCCTGGACGGAATTCTGGATATCTTCGAAGCTTAAGAGCGCTATTCTTATAGCCCTGAGTATAGATGATGGACTTACAGGAGGGTTAATGTTTGCCCTTTCTGTGAATGAATTAATTGAATGTAAACTTCCAAACTTGTGGTATTTAGATCATTCCGCGGCGATTGCTGTTTCACTCATGCTGTTATATTGCGGCATGAAAATTCTGGTGGAGATATTTGTTCACAAGAAACTTCCTTTCCAAATTTTCAAATCATGATTTCAGGACGAATTTTCTAAAAAGGACACGCACGACCAGTTTGTACACGGTCAGGCGAATCGCACGCAAGTGTAGCTCACAAAATGACTTGGAATTAACCCTGTCTTTCACGTTCTTTGAACCGAGTCTTCATTAAGAGAAGGACAGTTGTAACCATATTGGCCTTTGAGTCAAATGACTCAGCCCTGAGATACCATTAAATGAAACAGACTGAAACGTTGATAATCGAGCCTCGGAACTTGGGGGGGATTAATTTAGCTGTTCCATGTTTCGCCAGTTATGGCTCATTGAACTAAGATTACTGATTCCCTTTAATACCGAGACTTTTATAGGGTGAATTTCACTTTGCTAGCAGTCTCGTGGATTTTTGTTCCATCGGCGCAGTTCTCAAGCGTACTGTTTGAGCTCATTGCCTTTCGAAAACTTCTCAGTATTTACAGCGACATGAAGATGACGAATACGACCTCATTTTAAAATCATGGCACGGTGACTGATTTAAGCTTACCTAACATTACTGAGAGCTGCATATTGAAACACAAAGGAAGAATGAGACTTAAACACTCCAATAACTTAAGCCTACAGGTGCGTATCATAAAATAACTGATTGAAGAAACATCATGGCACGGTCCTTGATTTTCGCTTACCTTACATTATTACCCAACCCATTTTTAATATAGATTTCGCCATAAAAAACAAAACACAAATGCAATAAAGTAAATATTGAGAAACGGGAATTTTTTGCTCTAATCTCGACCTGAACACCAAAGGCAAGAAACCGTCTTTGTCAGTTTTCATAGTGTTCTACGTCACGAAACGCTAATTCGTTCGTTACTAGTCCACGGGACACTTTTAAGACAAAATAAGAGCATTTAAGGGCCCGAAAAACCGAGTTTTAAGTTTTTTGAAATTTTTTCCTCTATCGGAATTGGTTTGTACTGTATGATAAGCTAAATATTTAGGCACAAAAAATTCCGTGTCAGGAGGACTTTCGCGAAGAGATGACTTCTGCTCTCGATTGTTTCAACAACAATGCACACACATTATTTTTGTATGCGCATATCTCATTAAGGAAACACTGAATAATCCACAAGTAAGTCTTTAACACAGTACATTTCCCCAGGTAGAACTTGCATCGGCTGATATATCGTGGAATTGGCAAGGAGCGAACCAGAAGATAGGGAAACGACAGATGTTTCCGCTTTCCTCACAGAATACTGTCCGAGGTTGGCAGTCACCAATACATTCACCTAAATTAGCAGCAAACTTCAGGGCTGAATTCAATCCCTCGGGAAGCGAAGGAGATCTAGATCATTCACCTTGTGTTTCTGCTGACGACATCGGCACTAATAAACAGGAATCGGTATTGGAAATTCACGAAAGATACAAATGGAGACGAGCTATCGTTGCTGTTTCAGTTGCGAGCCTGATCACTTCAATTTTTTTTTCGGCTGCTGCATTTTACGGCACGGCTACAACAGATAGTTCTTCTGCCCTTGCCACTGCGCTCGACACTCTCCTCGCAGTTTTCAGTACTGCTGTTGTTATTTGGCGCTTCCGGGACTATTCGAATGAGAAGGTCATGGGGCCAAGGAGGGAAAGATACGGATCAGTTGCCTTTGGTATCGCCTTTACTTTCAATGGTCTCGTAACAATTATAGTATCTAGTTTTAACTTGGAAGATGAAAAAAGACCCAGACATGCGAACTTATTGTGGTCTGCTCTTCTTGGTTTTAGCATTACCTACTGTCTTTTAGCTACTTTGGAGTTCTGGATCTCTAAGAGATACCAAAGTTCAGTTCTCGTTTCTTTGTGTATTGACGACGCAGTCACAAGTGGTCTTTTGCTGGGTATGGCAATAAGTACTTTACTTGTGGATCAATACACTTACGTGTGGTATTTAGATCATATAGTCGCCATTGTATTGGCAGTTGTTCTTCTTGCAAGTGGTGTTAAGATTCTTATCGATATTTTTGTGCGCAAAGAACTTCCTTTCCAGGTGTTGGGTTAAATTCTTACCCTTGTTCCTTGTCAGGAAAACTTCTCAGAACGGGACGTGGGTGCGCTCGAGTCTTGTCAATAAACCGTCAAAACTCTACACAATAGAGTCAGTAGAGAGGAATTGTGTGCTTTGCCACCTTCACGTCTCCGAATTTCCCCAGAAAACGTGCCCTAGCCGAAAATTAGCCTCTTAATTTGGCTTTATCAACCGAGTTAATGTAAATTGGCCACCGTAAAGTTTACAAAAAGTGAGATTTCGTGCGTTAGCCCTTCGTCAGAGCGAAAAGAAAAATAGCCAATGGAATATTGGCGAATGGAACATTATGAATATTAGCTCATTTGTTGATCAAAAAGAATATTAAATAAAAATAGATGAAAAATATTCACTCTGGAGTGCGAGTCAATGATTTTCCTAGCCCACTATTTTATTGGAGTTCTTTTTTAATAGTCTGTCCTGTGCAATGTACCGGGCGCTATTATTCAATTGAGAAAAATTAGTCTATTATCTAACTGAACTTAATTAGAAAACCCCTCTCTATAAGAATGGATTAACATAAAGCCTTTCTCCCTACGGCCTTAAGGGATTCCTTCAATTTGTCGGAGATTTGCATGAAAATGAATGAAATTGAAAACACCGAGTGCCGTTAGCATTTTAAAACTACGTTTTCGTTGGGCAAAGGAGGTACATTATTTCGACTCTGTAAAAGTTAGCAGTCATTTTAAAATACGTGACGTTTTTTAAAAAGAAAAGTCGGACAAGGGGCAAGCCTTCACAATAGGACCTTGTACTGCCTTCGATTGATTTCAATTCCATCGCTATGGTAACAAAGCCCCAGTTTTACAAGAGAAAAGCAGGTTCTGTGTTGTGAACTTACAGCACGCACCGTCAAAACGTGGTTCAAAAGATACTAATCATCACTCTGGGTTCAAAGATGGGAAGATTTCAATTCAAACAAACTTTTGAGTTTACCGGCCTGTTCAGTAAAAAACGGCCCGCATAACTGACCAACTATGGCGCAGGCACTAACTGACAAATATAATAAAATGCCAAACTTGCCTTTGACATGGTCTTGTATTTATTCTCTAGTAAAAAATTGTCACACGGCTCTGAATTTTGCAGATGGGCAAAAAAATTGTGGTATGATAGGGTAAGCAAGCTATAAACAAAAGTCAGGCCAAACGTTTCTCTAGCTCTAAAAGAGGTTCAAGCACTAGGTCAAGTATAATGGAATGATATATTTTTTATTCATTTATCTTCCTTTTTCTAAAGGGACGAATGACACACATCACTTCTGGTTGCTTCTCATTGCTGATTAGTTGATGGTCTGTGGAGAGAAACATGTACAAATTTCTGCTTTAATTAAGACTGAACACTAAAAGTCTTCGATCACATCATAAAACCGTATCAGCTGAGGTAAATTTTGGTAATTCAGCTGCCTCACATAGAACACTCAGAAATGATGCACTAATTCAAGCCAAACATTAATTCCAAAAGTTTTCATTTTTCTAGAAATCAAGACTCTTACGAACCCTGAAACATGTACATGTACGCAGTAGAGTTGTAATGTGAAGTGCATGGATCTTACAAATATATTCTTACAGATACATGCCCACAAAAAAGGACTTTCAAAACATCAACTTACTTGGCCCATTCCACGCTCAAGATCAGATGATCATAACCAAATCCTTGAACACTTTGAATAGCTCGGGCGGCATCCTCACGATGGACGAAGTTGATGAATGCAAAACCCTGCAGAACAGAAAGCGTAAAAAGGGTAAATATACTTTTTTCAAAGCTTCCACCCCTTATTCTTTGACCTCTGAGAGTGATTAGCATCTAATTTCTCCTTAAAATATCACCCCAGAATCAAACATTATAGGCATGAGAATAAAAGAAATGATCCCCAACTAAAGAAGCTCTTGATTTTTAAACAAATTCTCCTTGTCAGCACCTTAGGAAATGTAAAGAGAACAGTATGGAGAATATGCATACTGATGTTAGGGTGTAAAAGGTTAAAAGCCTCTAATTGGGACAGATTTCTCTAGCAAGAAGCAAGAAAGAGTATTGCAATATCTCCTTCTGAATGGGACCCTAGTCAATCACAAGTTACCCATCAGTACTTCAACAGATTTCTGTGACAGTTCACCTGCACTTACATATACTACTGAAGAGAGGCACAGCAGGAGTAAAATATCTGGCCCTTAAACACAACACAATGTGTTCATTACTACAAAGATTTCTTTCATATTCATTTCTACATCTGCATTTCACATATATGATTTGCATATATTTACAGTTATTCATACATCACAATGACTTGCCCAAGGTTTGAACCTGAAATCTTTTGACTCAGTGTTAACCCCTAAACTCCCAAGATTTCATTAGTAATTCTCCTTACTGTCTGCCAAATGATTCTCATTATGTTAGTTTGGAGAATTTGGTTTAACAGATCAATTGGTAATCCCAGAATTGATATTTTCCTTTATTCTCATCAGTTGTCTGCATGATA